TATGTCTAACAGAGTATGCCACGTGATATTATCCTAAGATTATGATAAAGGTGAAGTGTGTATACAGGTCAACACCACCAGAGCCTATCCCAGGGTGAAGTGACCAGCTTGTAGCCTGGTGGGAAGAGGAACTGAAAGGTTGAACTTTATTTTGTAAGATTCCGCACAATGATGTTGGTTAGAGTTGAATCCTTTGCTACTGAATATAGTTTCCTTAGAAGCAAGCTACCCCTTTCCGTGGTTAGAATATTTCAGTTTTGAAGAAAGCTGCCTTTAAACCACCTTCAGATAACAGAATTCTAGTTACTCTCTTCATGATGAATCTTCATGGTTTTTTCTTTTTGTTTGTTTTTTTGTTTTGTTTTTCCTGCAGTTTGCAAAGCGTTTGGAAAATAGACGGACGTTTTGATAAACTTCTCAATCACAAAAGTTGTTGTTATACAGTAAATTGCTAAACCTCTCTGATAATGTTACTCCCTGAATCGTGCTTCATGCACTCAATTTTCTCTTAACAATCCTCCTTGGTTAAGTTTGCTTTAACTAATTTTCCTCACAGCCAGATGGAACAGACCTGTTTCACTTTGTCCATGGACATCAAACATGGACTGAATACCTAACACACATGGAACAAGATGGCGCTTGGGGTGATCACGTGATTCTGTGTAGCGCAGCAAACTTCTTTGAAACGTGCATTCGTGTGGTCAGCAGTCTTTCCCATAGCAGGGATGTAATCATTACGCCACATTGTCCTGTTGACGATAGCAAACCACTTGTGCTGGGACATATTCATGAGCTGCACTATGTCAGCCTTCAACCCGCTCAAGGTACGTTTGCAGCTCATTACATTACAGTTAGTAATTATAGTTTTATAACAGTATACTACGTTTAATGTGTGACTCAGAATCATAAAATGATCTGTCTCTTAACTCCGAAATGACAGTAAATTCATGCTTTAACTTCAAGGCTTTTTCTCCGTTTTCCTATTTATTGTCTCTCTATGCTCATTTGATACGGATCAAGTTGTGCAGTTCTTGGAAAATAGAATTACGTGATGACATGATTGGTTTTCATAATTTCCTCTCCAGTACTATGTGACGCTTAATCGCCCGCAGTTTTTAGAACCAAACGGCACTTGATGCAGTTTATTCTGCATCCCCAAAGAAGAACATAAGGTTCCTTTAACTCGT